GGGGAATAAAGAAATTGACCTGGAATCTTTAATGTCATTCTCCCTTCTGAGAATGGCTGTTGAGCTTCATATTCACGTACAGGAAGCCTCGATGCATATTCCCTTTGGTGAGTCAGGGAGACTCGGGTGCTTGAGTTGTGAGCTGCTCCCCTGAGTTCAAGAGGACTTGAGTGCCAGGGACTGGCTGTGAGGCAACAGTGCCCTCACCATGTCCTCCAAAGCAGTCCAACCTGGTGCTACCACTGCTCTTATAGGTACCAAATAGTGGGAGTGGCTTGACCACTTGTGAGTCTAAAATTGCCAAACATTTTTTTCCTTCAACTGTTAAGCTTTCCTGCATGGTCTGCAAAGGTCGAGGGCTTGTAGATCCCAACCCAGTCCCCCAGCCCCTGTCCTGTTCACAGACGTAGCAGATCCTCAAGGCCAGCCCCTTAGAAAGAAACCTGATGTTAAAATTAAGTTGTGCTAGTACCCTTCATTGTTCTGAATGAGTCTCTCAATTCTTCTTTAGAAGCTAATGCTAATTGTGAATGTGTTTAATATACAAGCACAAAATTATGCTGTAAAAGTATAAAAGGGAAGGAAATAGAATTGTAAAATGGGATTTTTGGCATGGTGAAATGGGCTATTTTTTTCCCCCTTGATCATTTCTATTTAACAAAACATTTTAAAATATATATCTAGTATTCTCAGAGGTAAAGAAATATAAACATTGAATTGAAGGATTTATGTGGTCAAATCGAAAGCCCCCCTAGTTCAAGAAACTGATGTCAGAGAAGGGACTGCCCAACACAACAGCATTTGTTTGTTCATTCAGTAGTTTTTAGGTTCTATTATGTTCCAGCTGTTGTAGCAATCACAAAACTAGAAATCAAATCTGGTATTTTGTTTCCCATTGCACTTTTCCCTAAACCTAATGGTGCCTGTTTATCTCAGGTAGATATTTTGGGTATCTTCATAAGGTCACTAAAGTATTAGCCCAGCATTGTGATCACTATGCATGGAAGATTCTAACCCTTGTCTCAGAAAAGCTTACTTGTTTACTTAAGTAAAAGCTTTGTACAAAAGTCTTAAGCTCTTTAAACCTCAGCTTCCACATCTATAAAAGGGGTATAATAGCACCTGCCCTAAGGATTAGAAGTGGTCAAGCCCACACAGCTCTGGTTAAGTACCAGGTATCCAGTGAGCTCTCCCTGCTGTACCTGCTCTTCCAAGAGCACAGTGCCATATGGGAAATGGAATTAATGCCATACTAAGGAGACTACAGAGCACAGAAAGGCCCCAAACTCAGCTAGGCAGTCCAGGGAGGACATCCTGGAGGAGGCCATAACTGAGCCAAACTTAACAGCAGGAATGCACTAAAACCTAAAATCCACCTACAGTAAACAGTGAACAAAATCCTCCTCTTTGGGAAAAAGTGAATTTTCTAACGTAATGGACTTGCTTTTGAAAACTTTTTATTCACAACTAGGATTATGCAAAAGCAACTCAACTTCAATTAAAACAAGTCATTTCATAATTGTTTTAAAACAAACTGTTGAATACAGTGAGTGCACATTTTAGGGCTTTATATCATCTTCTTCCTCTTCATGCTCTGCTTTCCTCTTTCCAGAAGGTGTGCCTGAATAAATATGAGAGGTAAGACATTTTAAAATAAATTGTTTTTGGAAATTTTATCTAAAATGGTTCTGACCTGACAGTGAGGGAGCCAGCCCTTCACACTAGAGCTCAGACACCGTCTAGATCAGGCAACTGAATAGGTTTCCCCTAGGCAGTGGTCAAGGCTGAAGAGACACTTTACTTTTTTTTTTCTTTTGAGACGGAGTTTTGCTCATTTCCCAGACTGGAGTGCAGTGGCGTGATCTCAGCTCACTGCAACCTCCACATCCCAGGTTCGAGCAATTCTTCTGCCTCAGCCTCCCAAATAGCTGGGATTCCAGGCATGCACCACCATGCCTGGCTAATTTTTGTATTTTTAGTAGAGATGGGTTTTCACCATGTTGGCCAGGCTGGTCTCGAACTCCTGACCTCAGGTGATCCACCCGCCTCGGCCTCCCAAAGTGCTGGGATTACAGGCGTGACCCACTACACCCGGCCTACATAGCATTTATATTGTATTATAAGTAATCTAGAGATAATTTTTTGTTTTGAGACAGGATCTTGCTCTGTTGCCTGTGCTGGAGTGCAGTGGCACGATTACGGCTCACTGCAGCCTCAACCTCCTGGGTTCAATTGATCTTCCTGCCTAAGCTTCCTGAGTAGCTGGGACTACCTGCGCTCAGCTAATTTTTTAATTTTTTTTTTTTTTGTAGAGATGGGGGTCTCATCTTGGTCTCAGGCTGGGCTCAAATGATCCACCCGCCTCAGCCTCCCAAAGTGCTGGGCTCCCAAAGCACCCAGCCTACAAATGATTTAAAGCATACAGGGGGATGTGCATAGCTTATATGCAAATGCTAAACTATCTTATATAAGCAACTTGAGCACTTGTGATTTTAGTATCCTCTGAGTCCTGGAACCAATCCACCACCATGAATACTGAGGGACAACTGTGTGTTGTGTAGAGAGAGGAAAAAATAAATGAACACACAGTGACCACTGTTGTCACTGCAGTGTTTTTCCTGTCTGTATCTCTAGAACCTAGAACAGAGCATGTGTTCAGAAAACATTCAATGAATTAATATGGCCAATGGGCAATACCATAGTGATTCTCTTATATAATTCATACTTAAGGCCAGGCACAGTGGCTCACGCCTGTAATCCCCACACTTTTGGAGGCTGAGACAGGCAGATCACTTGAGGCCCAAGAGTTCAAGACCAGCCTGGCCAACATGGCAAAATCCCATCTCTACTAAAGACACACACACACACACACACACACACACACACACACACACACACACACACACACACTCTCTCTCTCTCTCTCTCTCTCTCTCTCTCTCTCTCTCTCTCTCTCTCTGTCTCTCTCTCTCTCACTCTCTCTCTCTCTCTCTCTAGCCGGGCATGGCGGTGCATGCCTGTAGTTTCAGTTACTCAAGTGGTTGAGGCACAAGAATTGCTTGAACCTGGGAAGTGAGCCAAGACTGTGCCACTGACTCTAGCCTGGGCAACATAGCAAGATTGTCTCAAAATAAAAAAATAAATAAAAGACTTAAAATTTATTTGTACCTGTGATCTTATAAAAGGAAAAGAAAACAAAGGAAAATATTTTTATAACAAATGAGATAACCCCTCAACTACTATTACATTGAAACAATAAGGACACCCAGTTTTAAGCCAGGCACCATAGCTCACGTCTGTAATCCCAGCACTTTGGGAGGCCAAGGTGGAAGGATTGCTAAAGGCCAGGAGTTCGAGACTAGCCTGAGCAACATATTGAGACCCCCATCTCTACAAACCATTTTAAAAATTAGCCAGGCATGGTGGTGCACGCCTTTCGTTACAGCTACTCAGAAGGCTTTGGCAGGAGGATCACTTCAACCCAGGAGATTGAGGCTATAGTGAGCCATGATCATACCACTGCATTCCAACCTGGGCAACAGAGCAAGACCCTGTCTTAAAAATAAAATAAAAGGCCGGGTGTGGTGGTATTGGTATCTCATGCCTGTAATCCCAGTACTTTGGGAGGCTGAGGTGGGAGGATCACCTGAGGTCAGGAGTTTGAGACCAGCCTGGCCAACATGGTGAAACCTCATCGCTACTAAAAAGTACCAAAATTAGCCAGCCTTAGTGGCAGGTGCCTGTAATCCCAGCTACTTGGGAGGCTGAGGCAGGAGAATCACATGAACCTGGGAGGTGGAGGTTGCAGCGAGCCGAGATTGTGCCACTGCACTCTACCCTGGGTGACAGAGTGATACTCCATCTCAAATAAATAAATTTTAAAAGATACCCAGTGTCCCACAATGAACATGGTAGACCACCCTTGCTCTACCCACATGAAGCAATTTGTAGTTCTGTAGCTGAGACTTGATATCTCAGGCCCTGCACCTTTCTTTACAGGCCTTTCCATGTTCCTAGAGTGCCTAACCTGGCCTGTGTGCTTGTAAGCTTCTGCTCATTCTTCAATACCCAGCAGAGACTTCCTTCTCCATGCAGCCTTCCAAGACCCACCCGAGCACAGGTATCAGACCTTTGGGTCACTCCTAGTCCTACTACTGCATTTATCTCACTGGATTTCAGTCAAGTGTGTAGACAGCTAATTTGTGCATGCCTGGTCTGTGAGCTCTGTTCCCAGCAGTTGGCTCCTGAGCACAGGGTAAACTCTGAGAATTGACTACATTTGGTCTTACTTCATCATTACTGAGTTTCTTTGCTCTCACTAATCTTTGAGTCTTATCTTCTGACCCCTGGTCACTGTCTGAGGAATAGATGCTGGCTTGTTCCTCTGAAAGCAAAGGAATTTAAGACATGGGATTCACCTTCAAAGATGGTTTATTCCTCAGTGTTTCTTCTGCCAAATATTGTTACTTCCCACTGTACATTTTTCCTGAAGGGTCAACTTTTTTTAAAAGTTTCAGTGGGAAGGTAAATAGAACTTTCAGACATGCTGAAATGACTAGATTTGAGAGGTTTTGTTCTCAGGTTATTTGATCACTTTTAAATACATACACATCAGTTTTAAGAACTGTGAAGCTTAAATATTGGGTCTTTAATTATACAAGCAGAGGAACTGCCTTATATACATTTCCTTCCACAAGGACATAAATGGTTTAATTGATTTTATTTGGAGGATGCCATGTTTTCTTTTCTTTTTCTTTCTTTTTTTTTTTTTTTTGAGACAGAGTTTGCTCTTGTTGCCCAGGTTGGAGTGCAGTGGTGCAATCTTGGCCCACCGCAACCTCCATCTCTCAGGTACAAGCGATTCTCCTGTCTCACCCTCCCGAGTAGCTGGGATTACAGGCATCCGCCACCACGCCTGGCTAATTTTTCTATTTTTAGTAGAGATGGGGTTTCACCATGTTGGCCAGTCTGGTCTTCAGCTCCTGACCTCAGGTCATCTGCCTGCCTCAGCCTCCCAAAGTGCTGGGATTACAGGCGTGAGCCACTGCGCCCAGCCAGATGCCATATTTTCACAGCTAATCTTTTCTGTGGGAGAGAAAACAAAAAGGCCTTCGTACTTTTGTCCTCAATAAATAGTAGGACAAGGAGTAACAGCTCACCAGAGCAAAAGCAGGCACTGCCACCCTGAAATGATGAAATGTGACCTCCATAACCTGACTCACCTTGGAATTCACCTTGATAATAGTTTTTAATAGCAGCCAGGCTGAAGGTGTCCTTGCCTTCCTCCTCCACACCGTCACTGCCAGGGTCCTGGTAGGAGACACTTGGCTCCTGCTGGTAGCGCTTCTCCCGCAGATGGATTGCCTGAGACTCCCGGTGAGTGGAAGCCCTCAAGCGTTCCTCTTTCTGTAAAGAAGCAAATAACCTCTTCAGCCTAAAATCAAAACTTGTGCCCTCTTGCATCTACTTTTACCATAAAGAACACATAATGCCTAGTCCAGGGTAACAGCTGTTCCATGTGTCTTTGGGGTACCATATTCCCTATCACACCTCTGTTACTCCACGTGGATCCTTTGGTTTGCAGGTGTGAAGGCAATGCAAGGGTGAAGAGGCAGAAGGGGCCAGGTGCAGTGGCTCACGTCTGTAATCCCAGCAATCTGGTAGGCCAAGGCGGGCAGATCACTTGAGGTCAGGAGTTCGAGACCAGCCTGGGAAACATGGCAAAACCCCATCTCCACCAAAAAATGCAAAAATTAGATGGGGGTGGTGACACACGCCTGTAGCTGTAGTCCTCAGCTACTCAGGAGGCTGAGGAAGGAGAATCACTTGAACTTGGGAGGCAGAGGTTTCTGTGAGCCAGGATCATGCCACTGTAGTCCAGCCTGGCCGACAGAGCGAGACGCCGTCTCAAAAAAAAGAGGCAGAAGGGTGCCCTGACACTAACCGGCTTGATTGGCATTGGCACAGGCCTATCCTCCGGAGCCGTGCTGCTGTTCTGTGCTGCAACTCGGCCCAGAGAGAAGCAACCCACCCGAACTGACCACCTGGAGCAGGAGAGGCTGTTTCTGTTCATCCCTGAGCCACAACGACCTGACCTGCCCAGGCTCCACCAAACTCCCATGGCTCCCAGATACTCTTGTCCTGACTCCTCAACCCAGAGCTCCCCATAGCTCCAGTGACAGAATGGAGAGGCCTTACGAGGGGACAGTTCTTGAGCCACAAGGTAGACTCCATTTTTTAAAATCTGCCTGGCATTTCACACATTGGGGTTCACAATGTATGTTTCTGAAAGGTTACATTTTTTTAATCATCAGTTTTCTAGATTTCAGAGTCCTTTGTTTGGTAGTCTCACCAGCAGCCACTGACATTACTGTGGTTAACTACACACTTAGAAGGTGAAGCTGGTTCCCTGATGACTGCAAGAAATAAAACAGCAGTGGCAATAAGAAATGGTGAATTAATGTTCTGGAAAACATAGGTCTTACTACTCCAAATGTCCCACGATAAAGCTTACCGAACATACCTTCATCACTTCTGTGTGTTGGCCTTCAGGATCACGACCCGCCATTGGTAAGATTCTAATTTTCTGTGTCTTTGAACTTCTATTAGCAAGTGGCAGGGTCATCTTTCTGTATGTGGCACTGTCTCTAGAGTGAGGTCTGCCAGGAAGTGGACAAAAATGTCTCACTGGTCACTATGAACATTTGGAGGCAATCATACCGATAGCAAAAACACCTGGGGACGAGGACCTCGCACTCAGCAGACAGAGGAGGCAGGATCACAGTTCTTCCTTCTCCAGCCTCCTGAGAAACTCCTCCCTCTGCCCCACCTCCTGGGGAAAGCTGACTGGGCTAAAGTGGGAGTGCAGCAGAAGTGAGGAGAGGCAGGTGGCAAGGTCAAAGTATTTTACAAAGAATATCCCCGATTGCAGTCAGAGAGAGGAGAAGAGACGGAATATGAAATCTCAGTTCCCAGAGGGAGGTGCAGATGCCAGAAGGGACATTTAGAGAACTAACAATGAGTCTCTCCATCTGGAAGAAATTGGAAGTCAAAGCAAGGAGGCAGGTCACAGTAGCAGCAGGGGCCTTATAACAGCCCAGGGGGATAATACAGCTAGACCAGGAGTCCTGGGTGGAAAGAAATGTCTTCCTGACTACAGGAAGGCAGCTTTTAATTATGTATATCAGAGGGGAGGAGAATGATCCTTAGGGGAGAGTCTCTGGAAGAGAGAGCATGGCTACAGAGAGATGGGACGTCCAGAATGAGATGATGCCAGGCAGTCAGATATCCCAGTGTGGAGCACGGGGGACAGTGAAAAAAAGCAAGCTCAGAATCACACGTCTTTTAGGATGCTATTCTAGGAGAGATGATTAAGAGACTGGATTGAGCACCACTCAGCACTTGTGCCAGGTCTCTGTGTGATGTTCTATGTGTTATTTGACTTCATTGATACAACATCCCTGTGCGGTAGATGTTGTTATTGCCATTTTATAGATAAGGAAGCTGGAAACTAGTGAGATTGCAACCCTTCCTCAAGATTACATAACCTCAGAGCTGTCCCTATTTATAGTCTTTAAAAAGACCAACGGATATACTGAATGTGTTTTACATACTATGACATCCATTCATTTAAGTATACAATTAAACAGTTTTACAATCATGACCCCTGTCTGATTTTAGAAAACTTCCATGTCCCCCAAAAGAGCGCTTGTCTTTTAAAAAAGTACTCCACCTCTGGAGGAAAGCCTACTCCTAATCAACAGTACTGTGTCCTTCAGAGGGAAGGCATGGAGAAGGGGCCACAACAGTAAGCTTAGCTGGCCACAGCATATGACTGCTTAGGCACAGGCTGCAGCAGCCTCAGGCAAGGGTCTGTTGCCGGCACACACCAACACCATTCTGATGATGGCCTAGCTTCCCAGGTCAATTTCACTCCAGGGAAAGGACCTGCTGAGCAGCAGAGCTGCAAGGACAAATCCTCCAGGCTTCTTACCAAGTGTACTGATCATTGTGGATTAACATACCTACATTCTGGGTTATAATCACTCTCCTGGGAATTCTGATAGGATGAACTGGCTCCCTGAGCAGTTCAGCTTGGAGTCAACTTAAAAGGTGTATGAGAACTAGACCGTGGTCCAGGGTTGGGTTGTACTATCTCTACTTTGTTACTCCTTAACTGCAGGTAATCATGTGTCGGTGTGAATAGTTACCTAAAGGTAAGTTTGGATTTAAAGATGGCTTGTCCCTGCAGACCAGTGTCTTCTCTTATAAACAGGTGGATGTAATTGCCCAGCAGCGGGGCTTTGTACACATCAAACACTTCATTGCCTAAATGCAGGGACATGCTGGAAATGAGAAACAGTTCAAATATTAGGGTGGATATTTAATGAGTCCTACGGCTTCCATTCTGCCATGTGAGCTTTGCTTAAAATAGTGTGGAACTGCTAGATCCTGTCCTCATACTGAATTCATAGGAAAAGCAGAAAAGATGCTGTAAATAACCTGTCTCCTTCCAAAGTAAAAAGTGGTAAAAATCTATCCTCTTAATTGTTTTGTAATTTTACAAATCTCTACCACTTCATTAGCAAAGCAGAAACAAGTTTTCAAAAGTATCAATTTGTCATGTCTGATATCTCACCAATGGGAGCTACCTTTAGTCTTTCACTTCAGTAAGGTAGATACAATGGCTTTTGTCACATCTTCAGTTCATTTCCGAAGTCTCCACCAGCACAGCTATAAGACCTCTACCCTATTTACTTCTCTCAAGTTTCCTAGGTAATTTCAGAGACCTAAATTTTTGTAAATCCTTTAGTGAAAATGACCCCAGGCCAGGCGCAGTGGCTCATGCCTGTAATCCCAGCACTCTGGGAGGCCGAGGCAGGCGGATCACCTGAGGTCAGGAGTTCGAGACCAGCGTAGCCAACACAGTGAAACCCCGTCTCTACTAAAAATACAAAAATTAGCCGGGCGTGGTGGCACATGCCTGTAATCCCAGCTATTCAGGAGGCCAAGGCAGAATAATTACTTGAGCCCAGGAGACGGAGGCTGCAGTGAGCCAAGATCACGCCACTGCACTCCAGCACTCCAGCCTGACAGAGCGAGAGTCTGTCTCAAAACAAAAAAGAAAAGAAAAGAAAAGAAAATGACCCCAGAAGAAGTTTCTACAAAGAAAACCTCACTCATCCCAGGCCTCCCTCTTGGCATGTCAGTATTTTTCAGGCATTTTATGCTCACCTTCTATCTGACCACTTGACCATCCGAGCATTGCTTTCTTTAATTTTATTTCCTTCTTCATCCCGGCGTATCCTCCATCTTATAGTATTTTCTACCTGGTTAAAAACCCAAAGGCATTGGTTAGTTAAACCAGTTTAACTAAATGTTCTTCTTTCTTCAGGTGATTTATAATCATGTGTAAAGACTTGATAGGTAATGATAGAGTGAGCTTACAAAAACTAACTGATTCAGCACAACTGAAACCTACCTGCTACATATACCTAGAGATGTTGGTTAAACTAGCCAGACATTTTCTTCAAATCTTTTCTGAGCTCCAGTTCATATCAGTGGAAGCAGGAGCTAAGTAGCATGCAGGCCAGAGGTGTTATCAAACAAGACACATGAAGAACTCCAAAGGAGACAGCATGAGGCTTTGGGTCCACATGAGGTAGAGAGTTAAAATGAGACCTCTGCCTATGACAGGGCCACTTGAAGATGAACCCAATGAAAGACGGGCGAAAAACTGCCCCATTCCCTGTCTTATTCCCATAGTGAGACAGGGAAGCTCTGGGCATGAAATTACAATTTTTAAAAAAGAATAACGAATTAAAAAATTAAAACATGAGATCAGTGCTTTGCCCTGTTTTTGAGTCTAAATTTATTCTACCCATATGGTGGAAAGTAACAACAACAACAACAATTTCCCCTGCCCAGTGCTACCACTGGGGCCCCAGTAGAAACTCATAGGCAATCCTGTCGCCAGGTGTGGTGGTGTGCACCTGTACCCAGCTACTCGGGAGGCTGAGGTGGGAAGATCGCTTGAGCCCAGGAGTTTGAGACCATTCTGGGAAAAACAGCAAGGCCCATCTCAAAAAAATAAAAAAACCCACACAAAGTTTTAAGTTAAAAAAAAATTGTTTTAAAGGAAACCCCCTTAAGGAAGAACAACATGCCTATGAAAGCAGTTGGTAGTGCTTTGCTGTCCCTGGCCTTCAAGAGAGGAACCACCTAATGACAAGTTCTCTTTTGTGCATAGTTTGAATATCCATGAAGAGTTGAGACATTTCTATTGTGGGAAATCACCAGGATCTACCCACTGTAAAATCTGGAGTCAATTCCATATGCCTTATTATTATTTTATCCTGAAGGAAGTAGCTAACAATTTTCAAAAATGTTTATCTTTACTTATGTCAAAAAAAGCATAACTGCAACCAAAAGAAGAAAGTGACAATTCTACAGGGATAAAAAAGGACACATACCTCCTCCCATAAAAATATTCTGAAAAGGTGTTTTAATTCCTAGGTCTAAAGAGCTATTGAACAAGAAACATAAGAGGATTTCCCAAGCTCAAGTCTCACGTTGTCATCCCTGCTTTACTTTATAAAAGGAAAAACTTAAAAGGAATAAAGTGTGGGATGGTACCTTTAATTTTAACCTGATTCTGTCTTCCTCGTCAAGCACTTTCTCATCTTCAAATTCATCTTCATAAAACTGAGGATCAAAAGGCCTACAAATTGTGTTTTTAACATCATGTTAGCCATATTTAGTAAGGAATATGATTAATATTATATTTAATCATCCCTACAAAGGTGTCCCCATGTGTTTCCAAAAATCACAGTAGACAAATAACTTCATGTAAACCTTCAAAGAAGTATGCAAAGTACCATGCTTTCTTGAAATTTGTTTCTAAAACATATTGCCTGAAATAAAATTCAAATGCAACTAACAATTCAAAATGTTATTTGATGAAATATGTCTTCCAAAGTATAGGTAACACATGGTCTTCCCATATTTTTTAAAGAAAATGTGTTAAGCACAAGAGCTTGCATGCATGTACCTTAGTGAATCATACCCACTGACACTATTTTGTAGTACAAAATAATTGTCTTTTCTAGATTCACAATGGCTTTTGCATTGAACATTTGTGATTTTTTTTTTTTTTTTTTTTAGGCAGAGTCTCACTCACTCTGTTACCCAGGCTGGAGTGCAGTGGCACAATCTCGGCTTACTGCAACCTCCATCTCCTGGATTTGAGAGATTCTCACGCCTCAGCCTCCCAAGTAGCTGGGATTACAGGCGTGTGCCACCACGCCCGGCTAATTTTTGTATTTTTAGTAGAGGCGGGGTTTCACCATTTTGCCCAGGCTAGTCTCAAACTTCTGACGTCAAGTGATCTGCACGCCTCGGCCTCCCAAAGTGGTGGGATTACAGGCATGAGCCGCCATACCCGGCCACAACATTTGTGATTTCTCTAGCAGACTTTGTCACTCTTATTTTCTGATTTGTCAGCTTTATACTAGGGAGAAACACCTTCATCCATTGTGATCTGTTTATGTAAAAGAAAGTGCCAAAATGCTAGAAAAATTATTAGCATTAAAATTCTCTCTCAATAGTGATTCATTTTTCTACCACAGCACAACCCAGATTTATTTTTTTCAAAGTTATATGAGAAATCTCCCATCTTTGTGATTAGTAAACTCATGATAAATAAAAAAATATTTATTCTACACATATTTTTAATATCTTGAAAATTTTAATCAGTCCTCTTACTTGGGTTCTATACTGAGAAACTTGGGTAATTTAACAAAATACAATTCATTTCCTAAATCGGAGTTGATACTGGGAATTTCTTCTTCTATTATGGTTTCAGAAATTGGCTCTTCCTCCTGCTGGTCCTGAGGCACTCCATGTTCATCCTAAGAAAGGAATCAGAATGTGAGAACTTGAAGACATTAGAAATGTGCTAGCTTTACTCGTCCTGCACTAGGCAGATGCAGGTTTGACAGGAAGTAATGTTTTGTTTGTTTGTTTGTTTGTTTTTTATAGAGTCTTCACTCTGTCACCTAGGCTGGAGTGCAGTGGCGTGATCTCGGCTCACTGCAACCTCTACCTCCCTGGTTCAAACGATTCTCCCGCCTCAGCCTCCTGAGTAGCTGGAATTACAGGCCTGCACCACCATGCCTGGCTAATTTTTGTGTTTTTAGTAGAGACAGGGTTTCACCATGTTGGTCAGACTGGTCTCAAACTCCTGACCTCAGGCGATCTGCCCACCTTGGCCTCCCAAAGTGCTGGGATTATAGGCGTGAGCTAGCGCGCCTGGCTGCGAAGTAAATTTACACTCCACTTTAGGGACAAAACAGTCAGCAATTCTTCCAAGCTTCTCCCTAAAACCTCACCTCATGCCTACAAAAAGCAAAACAGGCTGGGCGTGGTGGCTCATGCCTGTAATCTTTGAAACTTCGTCTCAAAAAAAAAAAAAAGCAAGACAAAACAAAACAAAAAAAACATGGGAAAACAGGATCCGTTAGCCAACATTAGTAGAAAAAAGTATCTATTTTATTGACGTATTTTGCATAACATATTCAGCAATAGAAGTATGAAATTATTCACCCCATCAATACTAGACAACTATTAAAATCAGAGAATGTCAGCATCGCTCATGCTTCTTGTCATAGGCTTGAATAAGAAAAACCTTTAAATCAAAGGTTTTTATGTTATATATTATATTTTTATATTGTTTTATATTAGTCTAGCCCCTAAAGTTTGGCATCAGCTTTATTCTGAGTAGTTCCTTCTGTGCCTTCTTATATCCAGAAATTCCCAATATAGCTAAGAAAGTCACCTATTCATCAGATGTTTGGCTATCCACATCCTCTCTCAACATGAGACAGACCCATCAGCCTCTGAAGCTTTCTTTTTTTAGCTTTGAATAATGGGATTGGTTGATATTGGTGATTGTACTTACAACCAGCTGTCGTGGAGTAGGTGGTTGATTGCCTTCATCACTCTCAGAAGAAATGTCGTCTATATCTCCAAACAGATCCATGGTCCCACTAGGATCTTTGGTGTTGGGGGAAAATGCACAGTAGTAATTTTTCCAACTAAAGTTCTTATACACAGTTCTTGGTCCACCACTTCAACATAGTCCCAAGCTTCATAAAACAAATCTCCATTAAACCAACCTCAAACTGGCTCCCTAAGCCAGGTTCTCAGAAGCTTAACTAACTAGAGTGTCTTTGGAGAAAGAAAGAGGCAGCGTTGGTGGGTGAAAGGTAAGCCATTCCTGAATTCCTAACCCTCAGAATCAGCATGATAATAGTAAATGCTTGTTGATGTTAAGTGCTGAATTTGAGAGTGATTTGTTTTCAGGTGTTTTTTTTTTTTTTTTTTTTTTTGAGACGGAGTCTCGCTCAGTCGCCCAGGCTGGAGTACAGTGGTACGATCTCGGCTCACTGCAAGCTCCGCCTCCTAGGTTCAAGCGATTCTCCTGCCTCAGCCTCCAGAGCAGCTGGGATTACCAGCGTGCGCCACCACACCCAGCTAATTTTTGTATTTTTAGTAGAGACACTATTTTACCATGTTGGCCAGGCTGGTCCTGAACTGCTGGCCTCAAGTAATCCACCTTCCTCGGCCTCCCAAAGTGCTGGGATTACAGGTGTGAGCCACCACACCCAGCCTAATTTGTGTCAAATCTTAAATCATTTGGCAAAGTACACATGAGCACATAGTATTTCATTCAGTTGGAGTTTCTTGGGTGTTTTCTTTAAGATATTTGCAGTTGCTGCCCCTTTCTTAAACTCTGGGTACTGGAATCTTTTTAATTCTCAATATGAGTAGAGCTTTCTGAGCTGTAAATTAAATGGGAACTTGGCCTGCATGGCCACTGTGTATGGCCCAGAGCTGAGCAGACAGCCATAGTCATTTTATTATTTGCATACTGGGAACTGAACAAATGAGTAAATAAATTGAGGATATTTGAAACCAGGCTTTTTGCTTTTGGAGAAGGGGACAGAAGAGACAATTCAGCAAGAGTCTGTATTAAGGGAACCTGAGCCACCTATACAAGAAACCTTCTCATGCCTTCTAGACCTCATTGAGCCCAGATGATAGATTGGTAAAAAACTGCCATACATATGCCCAATCTTACAGCTTCCTGGGACAGAAAATGCCCAGTTCATTCTGAGAAGCTCAGCCTGTGTGGTTACTTGATAGTCCATGATTAAGTGTTAAAAGGGACTGTCTAGGCCAGGTGTGGTGCCTCACGTCTGTAATCCCAGCACTTTGGGAGGCTGAGACGGGCGGATCATGAGGTCAGGAGATCAAGACTCCGTCTCCAAAAAAAAAAAAAAAAAAAAAGGACTGTCTACAGAAGAGGACGTGGATATGTTTCAAATCCCTAGAGACCTGTACTCAGTTCTCTTGCTGATTCTAACCACAGGGTTCAGACAGCAGTGATATTTGCCACAGACACACTAAGCATTATCAGATATGCTGGGTTATTAGGCCGAAGTGGAAGAGCAGTTTGCCCTGTAACCTGCAATTACTGCAAAACAGTCTCTTATTCTGGTCCTCACTTAAAACAGGTAGCATCTCTGCCTTACTTGGCAAAAGGTCAAAGTGCACAATGAAATAAAGTGTACATTGGCTCCTAAATCCAGAAAGATCCACCAAGCATTATTTTGCACTGATAGGTGGTTTAAGGTACAGCACCATATCCTTCATTTTGGAGGGGCTATCCAGACATGCTCCAGACCATTAGTCCCCCAGAAACTTCACTGAGGTGGCATGCCCCTAAATTTTGATGGGGATTATCTCCCACTCTCTGGTTTACACGCTGAGGGCTGATTACTAAGGCATCTAAAGTACAGTTATTTCCTACTCATCAGATCAGATACCATCAGCATAATGTCATCGCTGCAGTGGACCAGTGTGACATGTGGAACATCAAGATGGTCAGGAGTTTTTGCAGACTCCATATGGCAAAGTATATAGGTAAGTCCATGTAGCTGTGAGGCAAGATTGTTGCCTCAGACCAAAGGGTTTCATTGGTCTAGTAAGGGGTACCATTGGTCTAATGAGGGGTGCCATTGGTCTAAAAAGTAAAAGCGAACTGTTTCTGTTTGTCCTTACATATTAATATGAAGGGGAAAAAAGCATTTGCCCAGGCTGGTCTTGAACTCCTGACCTCAGGTGATCCACCCACCTTGGCCTTCCAAAGTGCTCAGATTATAGGTGTGAGCCACCACACCTGGCCCTGCCTACAGCTTTTGAAGGATACATGTCCTCCTCTGCTTAATGTATTTCTCACTTTCCTTGTGACCCAGCCTGGGTGACAGAATGAGACTGTCTCAAAGAAATATATATGAAATAGCAGCTGCTAATATAGTCATTATTTGATTTGGTATAAGATAACCAGTCATTTCCAAGATCAATCTGCCAATAGGCCATACAGGTGAGATAAATGAGGGATGTGGCCAGGTGCAGTGACTCATGCCTGTAATCCCAGCACTTTGGGAGGCCGAGGCAGGCAAATCACCTGAGGTCAGGAGTTCTAGAGCAGCTTGACCAACATAGTGAAACCCTATCTCTACTAAAAATATAAAAAAACTAGCCAGGCTTGGTGGCGTGTGTCTGTAATCCCAGCTATTCGGGAAGCTGAGCCAGGAGAATCACTTAAACATGGGAGGCGGAGGTTGCAGTGGGCTGAGATCGCACTACTGCACTCCAGCCTGGGCGATGCAGCGAGACTCTGTCTCAAAAACAAATACATAAAGAGCGAGACTCTGTCTCATAAATAAATAATATAAATTAATGAATAAATAAATGGGGGATGTAAGAGGTATCATCGCCTCTGCTTCTTTCAAGTCTTTGATGGTATCATTCATCTTTGCAATTCCCCCAAGCATGCAGTGTTGTTTTTGGTTTATTATCCTGGTGAGAAAAATAAGTTCCAGGGGCTTCCACTTGGTCCTTTCTACTTTTTAATGGTGCTTCATGGATCAGAAGACAATGTGGGGAATTTCTCAGTTGACAAAATATACCTATTCCAATCATATATTTAAGAACTGGGGAAACCACAAGGTGGGTCAGTAAATCTGGAGGGCATACTGTGAGTTGAACTTGGGCTAAAACTCCATCTATCACCTGACCACTGTCAGTCTCCACTTTGTATTTAGTGGAGTATTTGAGGTTCTAGGAGTGAGCATCAACTGAGCCAGTATCTAGTAGTCCTCCAACTCTGGGTATTTCCTTTCCCCAGTTTGTAGTCTACTCTAGTAAAGGAGATAATCTGACTCATCATGATACCAATGGACACCATGGGCTACCAGCATCCCCCTGCTCATTGGTGGGGAGCTCAGAACTGCACTCAAACCCAAACCAACCCCTAAACTCCATCTTTGAGGATTTGTTGCCTTGACCACCTAGTCAGGTTCTAGTCAGGGAACAGAAAACACACCAGTTGTCTGTACAGCTGTACAGACATAATTTAATATTTTAAAGTTGCAATTGGGTTTAAAGTTGTGGACTAGGTTACTGAAAGTATAAAAAGAGGAACTCTGAGGGTTCACAGAGGTAGCAGATGCAAAGAACAGCTTCCACCTGTGGGGCTGATAGGGAAAAGGGGGGATTATAAAAACTTAAAACACTTACATAAAGGGCCCCCTGGAGCTTAACTCATACCTGAGGAAAAGCTGCTGCCCAGCTGGTCCTGATGTCTCTCAGGGGGGAAAATGAAGCTGGCTCTGCGAGTGCTGGCAAAACTGCAAACTGGACTCTGCAGCTGCAGAAAGGCTCTGCCTCTGCTCAGGTGAAGAAGTGTTGGTGGGTCCTCTCAGAAAATGCAAGTCAACAGGAAGCCCCCAGAAAGTTCCATAAGCAAACAGGAAGGAGCAATCCCTTCTTAGTTCTCCAGGCTTCCAGTCTTCCTTTGGCGCCCCCTAACAGGGGGCAGCTGGCGAAGCTCAACTCTGGTTTGTAGACTCCTGGCCCCAGCACCTCCGTGCCAGGTACAGAAGAGTAGGTTTGGAGAAGAGACAAGAGCTTAACAACTGACACAGGTGTCTACTGGTAACATGTTTAAAACAAACACACAAAATTGTGTTGCGTTGGAGAGAGTGGAGTCAGAATGAAGGCTCTTAAAAACCAGGTAGAGGGGTTTCCATTTGATAAGCCAGGAAATAGCTGGCACTGAAGATTTCTGAGTTAGGAAAGTGACATGATGATGACTTAGGCCTCCCCTCTCTTGATGTCACTTTTCTTTATCTATAACCAGGCTTCAGGGTAAGCCTCCCACAACTGCCACTCCCAGTTTGGACTAATAGCACCAAGAAGAAAGATGAGTCAAAGTAGAGGCTATCAGTAAGGACAAGATTAGTGTATGTAGAAGAGCTCCACAGAGAAGGCAAATATGTGTGTGGTGGATTTCAAACATACCTGCAGATTCTTTGCCATTCTTCCAATCAAGAGGAATCAAATTCCCCTCCCTTTGTATTTTTTGTTTTTTAAGACAGAGTCTCACTCTTGTCACCCAGGCTGGAGTGCACTGGCAGGATCTCGGCTCACTGCAACCTCTGCCTCCTGGGTTCAAACAATTCTCCTGCGTCAGCCTCCCGAGTAGCTAGGATTACAGCCATGTGCCACCATGCCCGGCTAATTTTGTATTTTTAGTAGAGACGGGGTTTCACCGTGTTAGCCAGGATGGTCTCGATGTCCTGACCTCAAGTGATGCCTACCTCGGCATCCCAAAGTGCTAGGATTACAGGATAGCCACCGCGCCCAGCCCAGATCCCATCTTCATTTAAAATTTTGACATTTTGTTCATCATGGATTTTTTTGACATTAATTTTGAATACAATTTTAAAAATTACATTACAACAATATTTATCATGGTTATCATTGTGGATTGAATAGTGACCCACCCCCCACACCCCACTGAATCCATGTCTACCCACACCTTCAGTATGTGACCTTATTTGGAAATAGAGAATTTTGCACATGTAATTCGTTAAGATGATATCACACTAGATTAGAGTTGGCCCTAAATCCAATGAATGATGTCCTTATGAACAGAGGGAGATCTGGAGATACTGAGACCCGGAACAGAGACACGAGGAAGGTCATGTGAAGACAGAGGCAGAGACGGAAGTCATACTGTCAAAAGCCACAGATTGCCAGGAACTACCAGAAACTGAGAGGCAAGGAAGGATCCCTGCCAAGAATCTTCAGAGGCAGCATGGCCCTCCCACAGCTTGATTTTAGACTCCAAGTCTCCAGAATTGTGAGAGAATCTCAGCCTGGCCAGAAGGCTTCTTTGTGGGGAATGAGAGGTAAGGGGGTTGAGAGAGCAGCAGGAATTCACTGAGACCTAAGACTTTGTGTAAAGCATTAACAAAATCAGTTTGCTTTGGGAAAAGTAGATTCTTTTTTTTTTCTTTTTTCTTTTATTTTTTTGAGATACAGTGTTGCTCTATCGCCAGGCTGGAGTGCAGTGGCACGATCTCGGCTAACTGCAACCTCTGCCTCCCGGGTTCGAGCGATTCCCCTGCCTCAGCCTCCCGAGTAGCTGGGACTACAGGCGCATGCCACCATGACCTTGTGATCCACCCGCCTCGGCCTTCCAAAGTGCTGGGATTACAGGCATGAGCCACCACACCTGGCTGGAAAAGTAGATTTCTTGAACAGAGACTTGCTTTTAAATTGTTTTATTACAATTAAAATTACACAAAAGCAAATCGATTCATTTCAATCAAAATAACTCATGTTTACATATTTATAACTGTACAATAAAATATATAAAATGTTTTCATATTTCATACTTCAATCATCTTCTTCTTCTTCTTCATCACTGATCACGTACTTCTTATGCTTTTTATTTGCTTTATCATCATCTTCTGCTTTTCTCTTTCCAGAAGGTTCACCCTCCTAAACAGATACAATTTTTACAAATCTACAAGTCAATAAAGAACATTTTTAGGATGGTTTATCAAAAGTAGCTATGAGCTGAATGACCCTCTGACAACTCAAAGTAACTGTTCCTGCAGATTGTGAGGGAGATTGTGAGGTGTCAGCAACTGTGAGCTAATCTCTCACAGGGAAACCTTTGAACACAGAGCAGGATGTGCAGGAAACTGGAGACAGGATTTGCCACAGAAGGGGTGGGGCTCTCCCAAAAGTTCTGCCTGTCTAACCACTGGTCCTGTCGGGATATTTTTACCATGATCAGGTAATTTCTCAAACTTTTTTTCTCTGCCTCCTCAGCATTTCACTTCTTTCCATTATCTAAAATTCAGTATTTTAAAGACTGTTGATTTGGGTTTTTTTGGAACAATTTGTTTCAATGCATTAAAAACTCACATCATAAAGGTTTTTAAGAAAATATTTCATGACATTAAAGGGCATCTATACACAAGTTTCCTCTGTTTAAAATCATTCTGTACAAATGTTCTAACAGAAACAAATAATTTAGGAAGTTATCTAAAAAACATTTTTTACAGATAGAATTTGAACATGTCAGTATCTAAGTGTCAAATACTGATTAAAATAAACTGACACTAAGTGGGATGGGCCGGGCACGATGGCTCATGCCTGTAATCCTAGCACTTTGGGAGGTCAAAGGGGGTGGATCACCTGAGGTCAGGAGTTTGAAACCAGCCTGGCCAACATGGCAAAACTCCATTTCTACTAAAAATACAAAAATTAGCCAGGTGTGGTGGCACGCGCCTGTAATCCCAGCTACTTAAGAGACTGAAGCAGGAGAATCGCTTGAACCCAGGAGATAAAGGCTGCAGTAAGCTGAGATCGCGCCAATATATTCCAGCCTGGGCAACAGAGCAAGCAAGACTGTCTCAAAAATAAATAAAAATTAAAAATTAAATGGTATGAACAAATGGTTTGAAGGTTGAAGTTAGGGAAAGCCAGACATCTTGCTGCTGTGACCACAGGCTGCTAGATGTAGAATGCAACCTGGTATGCCCACTTTTTTCTGATGGTTCTCATGGCTGGCCCTCTGACAGACAAGATAGCATCTCACACTTGTTTTCTGCCTTGTTATCCCAAATACATTCCCACAGACCTGAAAGGCCATAGGAGAATTCAAAGGGGGGAAGTTATGAATCCACAGTAAGGGATTTAGAGAAGTCCTCCTCCTCCATTTACCTCCCAGCTGGCAGCAGGGAAATTACCTAAACAGCAACACTGAAAGATAGATCCTGCCCCCAAGAAGGAACAAGAGCCCCTCCTGTCTACTCTACAGGCTACAGCAAACCCAAATCTCTCCCAGCCCCACAGGCAAAGAGCACATTCAATCACACTACTTGTCTTTTAATTTTCAAAGGAAAAATCTTATCTTAAACATTTTACATGCAATCACTATTTTTTGGTAACCTTCCAAAAATGAGCCTTGGTGCATTTGTCTTTTCAGCTCTAAAATCCTTTAAGGAGATGAAATTTGAATCACTAAGAGAACTAGCATGGTAATTCTAAAAGATGGTCCAGCCTGTCCTAAAGATCCCTGGACAGCAGCAGCCAGGAGATGGCCAGGCCTCTCCCAAAGAAGTCTCACTGGCACCAGTCCTAATCCATCCTCTGGAGTGAGAAGCTGTGAAATTCTGCTTTGAAAAGCCTGCCAAGGACTGGCTGGGCGCGATGGCTCATGCCTGTAATCCCAGCACTTTGGGAGGCTGAGACCAGCAGATCACAGGTCAGGAGTTTGAAAGCAGCCTGACCAAGATGGTGAAACCCCATCTGCATGAAAAATACAAAAAATTAGCCAGATGTGGTGCATGCCTGTAGTCCCAGCTACTCAGGAGGCTGAGGCAGGAGAATCACTTGAACCCGGGAGGTGGAGGTTGCAGTGGGCAGAAATCATGCCACTGCTCTCCAGCCTGGGCAACAAAGCGAGACTCCGTCTCAAAAAAAAAAAAAAGTCTGGGTGTGGTGGCTCATGCCGGTAATCCCAGCACTTTGGGAGGCCAAGGCAGGCGGACTACGAGCTCAGGAGTTCAAAACCAGCCTGGCCAACATGGTGAAACCCCATCTCTACTAAAACTACAAAAAAATTAGCCGGGCATGGTAGCAGGCACCTGTAATCCCAGCTACTTGGGAGGCTGAGGCAGGGGAATTGCTTGAACCCAGGAGGCGGAAGTTGCAGTGAGCCGAGACCACGCCGCTGCACTCTAGCCTGTGAGACGGAGCAGGACTCCGTCTCAAAAAAAAAAAAAAAAAAAAAAGCCTGCCAAGGACTGACTTCTCTAGCAGCTACACATAAGCACAGAAAAACACAACAAAGGGAATGGGCGCAGTGGCTCATGCCTGTAATCCCAGGGCTTTGGGAGGCCAAAGCAGGAGAATCACTTGAGGCCAGGAGTTTGAGTGAGACCAACCAGGGCAACATGGTAAGACATCTGTCTTCACCAAAAAATAATAATAATAATAATTGCTATAAAAAAAATTTTTAATAAATAACAAGGTCACGTGTCGCTCGTGCCTATAATCCTAGCACTTTGAGAGGCTGCGGAAGGCAGATTACTTGAGGTCAGAAGTTAGAGACCAGCCTGGCCAACATGGTGAAACTCTGTCTCTACTAAAAAATACAAAAATTAGCTGGGCGTGGATTTGGAGGCTGAGGCAGGAGAATTACTTGAACCCAGGAGGCAGAGTATGCAGTGAGCCGAGATCGCAGTGCTGCACTCCAGCCTGGGCAACAGAGCAAGACTCCATCTCAAACAAACAAATAAATAAATAAGCAAGCCAGCCAGTCAGCCATCACACAGAGCAAAGGTGTATAGTTTCTCAGACCCCCAGGACTTAGAAAGGTGACAGAAGCCTTCAGGATGACTTCATTTTGTGAAATTACACGTGTGGGATGCTGCCTTACTGAACATAACTGGAATGGATCCCAGTGTCATATATAAAAGCAGTAAATGACAAAAATATGTTTATTAAGTCTAAAAGAAAGCTTGCTAATACAGTCACGAATGCAGGTCCCTGGAGGTACAGAAACAGTCCACAGTTATGAAGATAAGGCAGGGTTGTCAGAGGGGAAATGGAGTCTCAAGAGGGAGAGCTGGAGAAAGAGACACAGAGAAGGCTGCCTAGCACCATGTTCTAACTAATCCTTCACAGCAGGTACCTCTTTTGTCTAAGAAGCCGAGGGTTGGCCTTGATACCTCTCCCTTCCACTGTCTCCATGTTTCTTTCAGTTCAGGCCTTTCCCTTTTCCCAGACTCCTGGAGAACAGAGTACCAGCACACGGTTTCTCCCCCTACCTGTTGATCTAGATCTTTGAGGTAATTGAGGTTTTGTAAAGTTTTAACTACTTAAAAAAATGAGGGAGAATAAAAAGCTCTCCTTTACATTCTTCTTCTTTTTGGTAACTTAGACTCTGTTGGAAAAGGGAAAATAGTATTTCTTGTTCAGCTACTACATATTGTGTTACTTTCAAATCTGTTGTTTATTAATACTGTAATACAACATTTTTACAAGACAGGGAGCATAAACTCCATTGATCAGATGAGGAGATAGACTCAGAAATATGAGATGACTGGCCCAAGGCCATACAAGTGGGAAAGGGTAGCACCAAAATCGATGCAGTTCACTCTACTATAGACTGGCCCTCACCTCCATTTCAAGGCATGCTATGATGATAATGGTGTTCTCTGGGCTGTGGACCTGGGGTCTGAAAACTCCCCTTAATATCAGGAGGCATACCCAGGCTCCTGATGTTTGGGTGGGCTTTAGTGTGCAAAGAACAGAGAGGGACTTAGAACAGGAATGCTCCCATTCCTTCTTCCATTGTAACGCATGACCAGGACTCACACTAGGGTAACATGAAGAGGCAGTGGCAGGGGTTGAGAGGTCCAGGAAGAAGTAAAATCTTTGTTGTCAGGGCAGGAAAGGGAAGAGTGCAGGAAGACCTGAAAGAGAGTATTTGGATAAGGGAGGTAGAGGGTGGTTCCTGTAATAGCTAGGTGGCCATTCCCAAGAGGCATTTTTAAGTCAGGCAGTATAAGTTTGCAACTGCCCAGCCTAGAAGAAGGCTATCTGATGGATCACTTTAAAAAAAAAAAAAAAAAAAAAAAAAACTCACTTCTGAGAATACTAGGAATAGACAGAAGTCCCATGATACTTCTCAATTTTCATTCACAGTTTCTATTTGCCAAGAAAAAAATAGCATCTGCTTAGATGAGGACTCACGTTTGCCAACAGTTCAGCACTATAAATGTATCATTAAGATGTTGCCTCATCTAATTTAAAACAAGTATGTTGCAGAACAATGAAACAAATTTTGGCCAGGCGCAGTGGCTCACACCTGTAATCCCAGCACTTTGGGAGGCCAAGGCAGGTGGATCGTCTGATGTCAGGAGTTTGAGACCAGCCTGACCAACATGGCAAAACCCTGTCTCTACTAAAAATACAAAAATTAGCTGGGCATGGTGGCGGGTGCCTATAATCCCAAC